CCCCCCCTCCCTCCCCCCGCACACCTGGCCTCTCCGCCCCCACACCGCACACCTGGCCTCTCCTCCCCCACACCTGGCCTCTCCTCCCCCCCTACCTGACCTCTCCTCCCCTACACCTGACCTCTTCTCCCCCCTTACCTGGCCTCTCCCTCCCCTTATCTGGCCCCTTCCTTTCTTTTGTTGTCCCTCCCGGCCTTCCTCTGGCTCGCACCTGCTGTGTGGCCCACTGGCCGTGTCCCGGTGCCATGGGCATGGGCATGGGCAGGCGTGACTCCCTGTGGCTGGCCGTGGGTCCCAGGGACAGAGGTATTTGGCCCACAAAGCCCCTGGGAAGGCGCCGTGGGGCAGCGTTGGTGAGAGCGCCTGTCGTTTATTAAGGTCGCACAATCCCGGCCTGTTCAGCGTTATCTTTGATGTTGGAGTGTGGGGTGGAAATCTGTTTATGTGACCCAGTTTCTGCGCTGAGAACGCCGTTCCCCTCCTCTTCCCTCTGTGGTTTGGAAGCCAGGCGGGTGCTCCTCCCCTCCACTGTCCAGTGTCCGGGTGGGTAGCCCGCGCACCTGCCCGGCCTAGGGACTGCTGGGCTCACGGCGACGACCCCGTGCAGCTGGCCCGTGCCCGAAGTCCACCTGCGGACGGAGCTGGTTGCTGGCTCTTTTCGGCTGTCAGCACGTGCTCGGCTGGTGGCCGCTCCCAGAGGGCTCGTGGGACCCAGCAGCCCTGACCGTCCCCAGACCTCAGTCACCGGCTAGTGCACGCTCTGTGAAGAGCCACCCTGCGCCTCTGGAGGCTCTGTGGTCGGACTGCTGTCTGCAGCCAGTCCTGCCGGGATCCGCTCTGGGTTTGGAGGCCAGCCAGGCGACCAGTGGGCGAACTTGGTTTATTTCTAGGGAGCGGCCAGAACCCTTTATCAGGGAGGCATGTGACGTCCGGCTAGGTCTTGCCAGGAGTTATGTAAGGGTCTGGGGACATGAAGACGGCAAGTGCCTGGCCTCTTCTTAGGGACCCTGTGAGGAAGAGGGAGGGCGGCAGCTGATGGTAGTGGTGGGGGACGTTGGTTACTAGGAAGAAACCTCACTTTTTAAAAAATTTGTGATAGGACACATGTGCTCGCCAGAGAGAGAAGGAACGTGAGAAACCACCCCCGGGGGTGGCCATGCCCCAGTCCCTCTCCCTTCTCTCGGGATTTTGGGTGCGCATGCACATGTGCCCGGTGTCTCTTTCAAGTTACTGGGTCTGGGATTTGAACCATGCACTGGACCATACGGGACCCAGCTGCCTTAACCTCCACAGGCTGCCCTGTGCCGCTGTGGCTGTTTTGGGGTGCAGCCCGGGGGCATTAGCGTCCCTGCTGTGCACCCACCAGCACCATCCCTTGGCGGAACTCGCTTCCCCGACCCCCGGCGCCTCGGCGCCTCGGCACCTCCTGAACCCCGGCTCCCTAGGTGCCCCCAGCCCTGGCACCACTGCCCACCTCTCTCTGAGTGTGACTGCGCTGGGGACTCATCCAAGCGGAAGAACGGTTTTTGTGCTTGGTAGCTGCTGCTTCTCTTAGTGCAGCGTCGTCAAGGCCGTCCCTGCTCCTTCCTTTTCAGGCTGAGTAGTATTCTGTTGTGTGGAGAGACCACATTTTGCTTGTGCCTTCAGCCGGCCGCGACACTTGGTCGTCTCCACCGCTTGGCTGTTGAGAGTAAGGCCGAGCATCTCGGCCTCCCATGGTGTTGGGGAAACAGCATCTGGGGTCCTGCTGCCCTTGTCTTTGTGAGGGTGGGAGGGCAGGCAGGCCGCCCCCAATGCTGGGTCCACAGTTGGGTCTCGGCAGCTCTTTGGCAACCAGGCTCTGGAGGGCCCTGATGCTCAGCATCTCGCCCAGTCCTGAGGGCCTGGCATTCTTGCAGCATGACAGCATTACCTGCAGGTCTGAGAGGTCTGAGGACGGGCCTTCGGTCTCACAGCAGGAAGCGGGCACCCTGGTCTGCCACGCCCCTCCGTGCTGTCCCCTGCCGCTGTGGAGGCCGGGTGCCCAGATGTGGAGGTGTTACAGGTGTTCAAAGAGGAGACAGGACTTGACCTCTAAGTCCACTTCACTGAGGAGAAGTAGCTCCGGGCAGCCTGGTCTGGGCACTTGTCCCCAGAGAGTGGAAGGTGGCAGGCACCCTGGCCCCACCCCACAGTCGCCAGTGCTGGGTCTTGGGGTTGGAGCCTGGAATATGCAGTTGAGCCCAAGGGCCCTGGAGTGAAGCGATGTTGAAAAGGTGAGGAGGTTGGCCCCTGGGTGTCTGCCTGGGCTCCCTGGTGGAGGTGTCCTGAAGGCCTGGAGGGACTCTCTAGTGAGGGGTGATGAGGGGTCCTCGCTGTTGCCATGGGAGCCACTCGGTGCCTCTAACCACGCAGCTCTCTGGCCTTGCCACTCTTCAGTTCCCTGTCTTGTGGCCACACTTTGGTGCCCTCTGGACAGGGTCAGTGGGGTCCAGCTTGCCCGTGGTTCTCTGTCAGCTCCTGCTCTGGTGGTGCTGACCTTGGTGTTGCCATCTGTCCTACCTCCGTCCCTGGGTGTGGCCGTGACACGGACACCATTTCAAGGGTGGATTTGCCTGCACAGGTGTTAGGAGGGGTGCTGGTGCCTCCGGCCCATGGCGGGTGGGATGTGGGCCTGGGGCTGCGGAGGGGAGCCCCGCCTTCCCAGCCCTGTGGCTCTGGCTAACCTTTGCCTGCGGAGTCTTGGGCAGATTTGGAAGCATCAGGAAGCTTTGGTGTCTTAGTTCTAAAGAGCAGTGAAAATGGACCAGCAGGGCCCAGTGCAAATGGGAAATGTCCGGCCAGGGGAAACTCCTGCGGGATGCGTTCTGGGTTCGAGCGTTTTCCCCAGACTTGTTCTGGCCGCAGGCCCTTGAGGCGTGTTGTGCACTTCACGTCCCTGTTGCCGCGCCCACCGAAACCCCAACCCGCTGCCGCCCCCATGCCGACCCTGCTGCGCGCCCACGCGGACCCCGACCCTGCTGCGCGCCCACGCGGACCCTGACCCTGCTGCGCGCCCACGCCAACCCCGACCTGCAGCGCCCCACCCTGCTGGTACCCCATTGAGTAACATGGTTTCTCTTTCTCTTTTTGCTTGACAGTGAGTGATCTACAGGAAGAGGGCAAAAGTGCCATCAACTCACCGATGTCCCCAGCGCTGGTGGACGTTCACCCGGAAGACACCCAGCTAGGTACCGTGGGCTCCTCCGACTCCCTGCCTTGGCAGGTGTCTTCCTGGGCCGCCATGTCCCAGTGAGGCTGACAGGGAGACTGACAATTCTGGCCTTTGCTCGCCTACCACACCAGGGCATTGGAGAGCCCGGGTTTTTAGCTTGAGCTGCTGGTTAGAAAAGTCCATAAAGTGGGGGTGGCAGGTAGTGCAGTGGTTAAGGCCCTGGACTCCCCCATGGCCAACCACAGTTCGAGTCCCAGACCTGGCAGCTTGCTTTCTCTCTCTGGTGAAATTGAGGAATGATAATATTAACTAAAATTAAACGAACACTTCTTAAAAAAGAGAAAAGTCCATAAAGGAAAGGAGTGCCCCTGTCTTAAATGTGTTTTTTTATTATTCAGATGTGGTGAAGCCGACAGATCAGACGTGTAGGTCGTCATTCCCAGGGTCCAGGAGGAGGGGCACCGTGCCGCACGGGCCCTCACAGGGAGACACCAGGCTCAGCTGGGGGCAGAAGGAGCGTGGGCAGGAAGCCCTTAGCCCTTCTCTTTTCCTTTCCCTTCTTTTTAATTTGCTGGAGGGCACGTGCACTTGCACAGAAAGACAGACAGAGGGGGAAAGCACCCCCAAACAGGGCATAGTCACACTCCTGTACCTCCATTACTTTCTCCACCCTGACTTCATGCACACGTGCCTGAATTGAGTGTCTTTCAGGGGCCAGGATTTGGACCTTGCAGCCCCTTAACTATGAGTAGGCAGGGCCAGCCCCTGGCTTCTTGAGCAGGGATGAGCGGGGCAGGGTAAGCAGGCTGAGTTAGGATTGGCTGGTGAGATCATTTCTGTGGCTCTGGGGTATTAGGATGTCCCGAGCTGTCTGACAACTCAGCCCTGGCCTGGGGGGCCAGGATGGGGATATTGGCTGGAGTCCTAAAACCTCCACGAGGACCCAGTGGGAAAGGTGCTTGGGGCTGTGGGCTTGGGATTATTTGCATGTGACGTGTGCGCTCAGGGAGCCTTGGGTATCTTGGGATCCACCAGCCCTGGAGGACAGTCTCTGCAGGGGCAGCAAGACCCAGATGTCAAAGCTTCAGAAGATATAGGAAACAAATCCCATGATAATTGGGGCCAGCAGGTGGCATGGTGGTTAAGGGACTGGATTTCCACACAGCCAACTCTGGTTCAAGTCCTGGACCCAGAAGCTTGAAAATCATGCCCTGCGTGTATGTGTGCCAAAACCCCACTAGGAGGATGGAAGAGGACAGGAGAGATGGTGGTGTGGGCATGCCCCGGGGGTGGTTTTCCCTTCTCCTCTCTCCTCTGCCTCTCTCCGATGAGTGCATGCTCCCTATGGCAAAAACAAAACGAAACGAAAACCCACCATGATTATTGACACACCTCCCTTCTCTGCCGGCTGAGCTGCCCCAAGGCCAGGGCTGGTGGGACCGCCAGGTGGCAGAGACCCCTGCACTCACCACCTGGCGCGAATGAGACGGCCCAGGCACATTTTCTTTGAAGCGTGTTTATATCCAGCCGACCTGCAAGGCAGTCATGGAACATTCTGCTGATCCCCAAGCTCTGGTTCAAAGGGAAGCCCTGGTGGAGCTCTCCTGTGGTTTCCACCCGGAGCTGGGCCGGCAAGAGCTGGCAGAGGACCAAGTGCAGGTGCCGCCGCCTGCGGGCCTGGGGCCAGGTGCTGGTTCACTGCCGGCCCGGGGCCTCGGCGGCAGCTTCTCTCCCCCAGGAAGGGCGTCCCTTGTCACCGTGCTGTGGTTGTGGCCTCTCTTCCCTGGGAAGGGCGTCCCTTGTCACCATGTTGAGGCCCATGGCCTTCGTCTGGCTGGAGTTACTGTGCTGGCCTTTGCTCTCAGGCCACTCTTCAAGGGGAACTGGGGACCGCATGTGGGTCTGCAGTTACTCTGCCTCAGAGCAGGGTCCTGCCTTGGCACTCCAGCCTCTGAGCCACCCTGCGTGTGGAGGGTGGGGAACAGCATCGGTAGTGTCTCCCATCAGCAGGGACAGCTGGAGTCGTGCCCAGACATTACCCTGTGTCCCTGTCGAGAACCTGCCTCAGACCATGGAGCCCTGGGAATAGGATTTTCTTTTTTTATTAATTTTTTTTTTTTTGGAGAGGTTTTTCACTATAGGGCATGTGCGCTCGCCAGACAGACAGAGAGAGACATAGAGACAGAAAGCGAGAAATCACCCCCCAGGGGGGATGGTCACGCCGCAATCCCTTCTCCTCCATTCTCCTCTTGGGGTCTTGGGCACGCACGCACACGCACCCGGCGTGAGTTCTAAGCCACCGGGTCCGGGACGTGAACCGCTGTCGACTCTGTGGGAGTCCAGCGACATAGCCATTACGCTAACTTCTGGTTCCCGGGAATAGGATTTTCTTAAACAGCGCAGCGGTCGCCCAGGGAGAAGAAGAGTATTCTCAGTAACCCTTGAACCTGCCTTCTGAGCCCCGCTTTCTGTGTTACGCCCTCCTTTGTCACTGCTCTGGGGCACATGAGTTGGCTTTTTTTTTTTTAAACTTATTTATTTACATTCATTCACTGTACATCATTACAGCATACAAAATGAGATTTTCCATCCAGAGTACACTGTATATTGGCTCAATCAAGCACATCAACATACGTGTTATCATCAACAAGTAATTTTCCATTTCTTGTTTCCTGTTTATTTTGCATTTTTTTCCTCATCCTTGGTTCCCTGTCTCTCACCCTCTGCCGTGTCCCACCCTCCTCCCACACTGTCTCTGGTATCCATGGTTGCTTTCTATGCCTTTTCCTCCCCATTTTATTGATTGGCTAAAGAACTTAATTAATCTAGATCTTTTCAATAGCAAGCACAACTGATATATACATATCCATGAACACAAGTCTGACTTTAGGTATAAACCTCAGTGAGTAGAATGAACATACTATAAAGTAGCATCTAGCTGGAGCTATATAGCTTACTGCAGTCATCAATTGGTATTTTTTATTCTTTTTTTTTTTTTTTTGAGAGGTTTTTGCTATAGGGCG